AGAATCGAAATTCGCAGAGCTGATGAACAAACACTTCACTGCAAGTTCCATTCCAAAAGGCATCCACTGTCTCTCTTTGCGTTTGACGGATGAATATTCCTCTAATGCACATGCACGCAGGCAACTGCCTGCTCCAGAGTTGCTCCCTTTGTTGTCTGACAACTCTTACCATCACTTCATACTATCAACAGACAACATTTTGGCAGCATCTGTTGTTGTGACTTCTACTGTGGCATCATCTCTAAGACCTGAAAAGATTGTCTTTCATGTCATCACTGACAAGAAGACTTATGCCGGGATGCATTCTTGGTTTGCGCTAAACCCTGTCTCCCCTGCTATCATTGAAGTCAAAGGCGTCCATCAGTTTGAATGGTTGACCAGGGAGAATGTTCCCGTGCTCGAAGCTGTAGAGAGCCATAATAGTATCAGGAACTATTATCATGGAAATCATGTTGCTGGAACAAATCTCAGTGATACAACTCCACGTATGTTTGCTTCAAAACTACAAGCTAGAAGTCCAAAGTACATTTCCTTACTCAACCACCTGCGGATATATTTACCTGAGGTAATCAGTTATGATCTGAAGTAGTGCTTTATGTTAGTTATGGGTCTGAATTTCCTATGTCTATGCTGCTACACAACAAAGAATAGGAGAGGTAAAATAAATTGATTTGTGGGAAGTTGTAATTTAGTACATAATTCACATGCCTTGTCTTTACCTGTCTTGTTTTACACTAAACAGAGAAACCTTAGCGCATGTCATAGGTTTAGCTTCTTCAGAATTTGAAATGCATTTGCAAAATGTTGTTGAAGAATATATAGCCCTTTTTTAACCAAAATGGAATCTGAACCCGTTCAGTAGGTTGCATGTTTCTGATTCTGACACACAATAAGTTTATTAATTGTAAGTCACATCTGGTACATTTTTGGAGTTCAACATGTCTAACTACTATCAAGTTTTTGGGTCTTAAGAAGTAATCATTTGTGGTTTCAATAAGTACTGTGGAATGTGCTCCTTGCTCTTCCATCCATTACTCAATATTCATTATTTTTCCGCCTAACTGCCGGTGTTTCAAAAACAGCTGTTCCCGAACCTCGATAAGGTGGTATTTTTGGACGATGATGTTGTCATTCAGCGTGATCTATCTCCACTTTGGGATATTGACCTTAAAGGAAAGGTTAATGGTGCTGTGGAAACATGTAGAGGCGAGGATGAGTGGGTGATGTCCAAGCGTTTCAAGAACTACTTCAATTTTTCTCATCCCCTCATAGCAAACAACTTGGACTCAGAAGAATGTGCTTGGGCTTATGGAATGAATGTATTCGACCTTCATGCATGGAGGAAGACAAGTATCAGAGAAACATACCATTCCTGGTTGAGAGAGGTAGATTTTCTTTTCGTGTTAAGCACACATTATTAACTTGCCTTGCTCTTTAGTACTCTTGTTCAATTTATTTGGGTGTGCATGCAGTCATACATATATATATACAAAGCAATAAAATTTTATCATTAGAATACATATAGAAGCATCTTCTACATTCTGTTCCCTTATTTTGTTCGAGGATGTTAGAAACAAATCTTGTGCATGTCCTTTAGTCAATTCTGTAAAAGTATTCTTTTCGGTGTTTTCTGACATCATGACAAAGTATTCTAGTTTTGTAGCTGCGTACCCATTTAGGCTCAACCTAGTAATTTGAGATTCAACTCAATGTGGAACTTCAAATCTCCATTGGCTTTTAGTACTGACAATAAATCGCTTGCATATAGTTGTGTCATGTATCATTATTAGTTCAGCTTTCATCTCACGGGGTTGCTTTTGGTTGTTTGTACTTGCAGAATCTGAAATCAAACCTGACCATGTGGAAGCTTGGAACCTTGCCCCCAGCTTTGATTGCATTTAAAGGTTATGTGCATGCAATTGATCCTGAGTGGCATATGCTAGGGTTGGGGTATCAGAATAAGACAGACATTGAAAGTGTGAAGAGAGCTGCAGTAATCCACTACAATGGCCAGTCAAAACCATGGTTGCCAATCGGGTTTGAGCATTTGCGGCCATTTTGGACAAAGTATGTCAATTACTCCAATGATTTTGTACGCAACTGCCACATCATGGAGACGTAGCCAACTCATACAACGATAGAGAGAGATAGAATTATTAGCTGAGTGATATGAATTGTCACATGAAGTCAGACTTTATACACTTGAGCATTCTCTGGATGTCTACCGAAAGACAGAAGGCTAGCAGAAACTTGGGCGTAATGGTTTTCAGGTCAGAATTCACTACCCATTAGCTCTGCATCACTAGCACGGGCACTGAGAATTCATTCTTTCATTTGTAACATAGCAATCGCATATTAATTCTTCCGGTTGGAATTATGAACAAAAAAGAGACTATATTGAAGGAAGCTAGCCTGAATTCTTGGCTCAATTAGTTCCCATGTCTAGAATAAAGAAGGTACGAGATACACGATTAGGAAGTTTCTGCACTGGCGGCTGAAATTTGCACCAACCATCGATACTATACACTTCGATTTTGGTGGCTGGAAAGAGAAGTCGAGCAATGAATAGGACAGTTTATATTCTGCACTGCAGAGGGAGGGCTGCTGTTATATTCTGTAATTCTGTTATGAAGCCAGAAGAAGCTCTTTCCTTCATATTCTTCTTATTGTTACTGTTGTCAAAGATTTTTTGTTAGAGACTCTTCTTCTCCCTTGCTTTTGAAGTTTGATACCAGTTGAGTGAAACTGTAGAAATAGAGGTAAGAAAATGAAGATTGCTGCTATGTTACAAACAGGTTCCGTCTTAAAATTTTGTTGGGGGACTGGCTACTGCAATTATAGGTACTCCCTTATAATGTACGAGGATAATGATGGTGATGAACCTCAGGAGAGACACAAACATTTGGAAATGTGCAGAAATATTCTTTCTTTTCCCCCTTTGTGTTGAACAGTTTCATGATGGTATGCTTGAATTTGAATTCTGATCCTTTCCATTTTCTTCTTTCTGCATGATTATTCATCATCATAACTGCTCAAGTCTATGAATGCCTGATACTAAGTGAATAACCCTGAGTTCATCACGATACAAGTTACCCTTTACCTATTGACGAAATTCGGTTTCATTCATTGTTTGCTAAACAAATTTCTATCATTAGGCCTTGATATTCCTGATTGTAAAACACCATTCGAACAATTTAGTACGAAACTTCCCACGATGTAGAGAACTAACATTAATATCTTTGTAATCCACATAGAGACGGTCGGGGAAAAACCCTTAATCAGTGTTTTTTTCTTCTTTCTTTCATTTCTTCTAAATTAAGATGTGGGTGAGACAAACATATAAAACAGGACACAGGAACTCTCGGAGATTAACACTCAAACAAGGGAATACGTTGTGTCTGTTGATGAATTGGAATCATTGTCCCTGTAGTTTACATCATCATTTGTATCCCTTTGGACAAAACAAAGGCAAAAGTCTGTCTGTCTTTCCCTCTTTTGCTTGGATGGAAGGAAAAGAACAATGAGAGAAAAAAAAAAAAAAAAATAGGAAACAGAGGAGCTGGAAAGATTGTCGATGTCCTTCCATGGCGATTGACTAGAGAGGGATAGTTACATAAATGTGTACTTTGACCAGAGTTTGAAGACTCCAAAGAAGAATCAACACTTCTCCTCTCTTTTTATTAGCGTCAACCATTTCTCTTTTCATTTTCGCCAAAGCTCATATTTTATTCGGTCACTGAGTTTCAGTTATTCCTTAGTTACTCCTTTTCTTTATTAACGCGCAATCTTCTTCTTCTTCTTCTTCTTCTTCTTCTTCTTCTTCTTCTTCTTCTTCTTCTTCTTCCAAACTACCAGCCATTACCAAATTCCACTTTTCTACGTGTCACTACTTATTTCTTCATTTATTGTTATGTTGGACTGGTTATTTTCCCTCTCGGTCAAGAATGACTAGTCCATTTTTATGGAGTTTCTTCACTTAAATTGTTCTATCAGCATGTGAACTAGTCGATATCGAAAAGAATTTCTATGAACCCTCCCTCTGACTGACTATTAGATAGGGGGAGCAAGCATGTGAGTGATCCCGAGATAATGTGAGTTAAAAACGCAGCTGAATACTGAGTTTGATTTTGATTGGATATGAATTATATCGTGTCACTTCATTAGGGTTTATTTGGTTGCTTCTATAATTGACGAGTTGAAGTGAAATACTTGTATGCACGGTTTGGACAAATAATTTTCACTAAAATAAATAAAAGTGGTTGTTGTGTTAATCGTTACAACTATTAGCAGTGAATTCATAAAAAAAAGTGAACTTCAATGATTGATTTGTTAGAATCCTTTCATAAATTAGTTGGCAACACATGGACGAACCACTCAAGTATTGTTGAATCTTTTAGTGTCATCACTTTTATCCAAAGATCATCGTATAAATTAATTCAAATAAAGCAAATGCATGCCTTTTCCTCCTAAAGTAGGATGATAATATAAAACAGAAACTCACAAGTCACAACAAATGATTGGGTAGGATATCTAATTATATATATATATAGAGGTTGCATATTACAGTATTACTTACATACCATCATTAACAATAAGATTATTACACCCAATTGTCCATCTATTTTATTTACTTCTGTCTCACTACTTTGATAATTACTTTTCTTACATTTAAAATGTCACGACATTTAGTTTGTTAATAACGAGTGATCTCGATTCATATATTCAATCGTACCTTCCAAACTTGCTGACACATTGCTGAAGTGAATAGTGTTATTGATGAATGTCATTTTTTTCTTCTTCTCAGAATGGCCTAAAAAAAGTTGGAGGACTAATTTGTCAAAAACAACAAATTAAAGGAGTGTGCCGAAAAGTCAATAACCCGTTCTTCTCATTTCTAGCCAAGGACGGCAGAAGTTTTCTCAGGTCCAAGATCAAGTATTAAAATAGGAGAGAAGAAAAAAATAAAATAAATAAACGAAGCAGGAAAATTAAGGAAGAAGGAAATAAAAGGAGAAAATGGAAGTCCATTTCCATGGTCATAGGAGGGAGGTAGGAGGAGAAATGGAGAAGAAGGCAAGGGAGAGAGAGAGAGACGCCAGATATGGACATGGGGGGATTGAATTGTGAATTGATTGCGCACAAAATAATATGCATAGTTTTGTTTTTAATTTCTCACCATTTTTATTAGATTTTTAGAAATGGAAACAACTTAGAAAACTCCGTAAACGCCCCCTCCTTCCTTCCTTCCTCCCTCACCTCTCTTCTTCTTAGTTCTTCCCTCTTCCCCATCGCTGCCGATTCGTTTATTTCTGTCTTTCCCTTTTCGTTTATTTCTAATCTCTCCCTTTCCTTCTCCCTCTTCCTTCGTCTTTCTTTCACCTTTCTGTATACTGATGCCCAATACCCTGTTTCAACTTCCCTTTCTCGGTGCCCATCATTATAATTGTTCAGTTTCGAATCTTTTCAGCGATTAGCAATTGGCCCAGATCAGTTCTGCCACCAAGTAAGAAAACCCATTCCCCAATTTCACTCCCTACCCCTACTCTTGCTTGTCTGATCGATTCAATTTATTGTCAGTAGTTTCGTCAATCGGATGCAGCTGTAATTTACAGCTTTCTGGAACTGAGGGGTTCCTTTTTCTTTGTTGATTATGATGATCTTTAGAGGAGGCGGAGATGTGGTTTGTGATCTTTGCTTGCTCTTCGCAGAATTTTGGGGTTTTCTTGCTCTTTTGTAGCTTGCGATCTTTTCAGTTTCCTTCCCTGTATTTCCCGTCTCTGTTTATTTCTATTGTTGTTTTTAAAATCCAGGGTTTTCTTGTTTTGTTGCCTTTAATTCAGCTAGTAGCAGCGATGAGAATTCATAACAGGCATAAATCAAAGCACTAGGTCAGCTGATTAGAATTGGAGCCAATCGTGAATTCGTGATGGTTAGTTTTAGGGTAATTTCAGAGTTTTGGTTGCTGATTTTCACGTGAATGATTCCTTCCTTAGAAATCCGATTCTGAAAGATGTCTTTTATTCAACCTTACGTTTCTGGTTCCTAAAATTTCCACTTGCAAGATACTGAAGAAGACTCCCTTTTTCCGTATTGTCTTTGGCAGGAAGCTAAACGAGTCAAGACTCAAGAGTCTTCATCAGTCCTTTGTTTCCTAGAAAACACTACAAGGTTCAATTTTTTTTTTTTTTTATAAAAACTCCAGCTTGTTTGAGCTGTGGTTGATATTGGGATAACAACAAACCTTGTAGCTCCCTGCATTCTGGGAACTCAGTAGTTGTTATATCCGCGAAGACATGGCCGGGGTACAAGATCAGTTAGAGATCAAATTTCGATTGACAGATGGATCAGATATTGGTCCCAAAAGCTTTCCTACTGCTGCGAGTGTTGCAACTTTGAAGGAAACCGTTCTTGCTCAATGGCCTAAAGGTAATGCCAACTTCCATTCTATGCTTAATGAGAAATCATGTTGTCTGTTTCATTGTTCATGTATTGACATTTGTTATAGAATGTGGGCTTAAGAGGTCTGTCTCTACAGTTTCTTATCATTTGTTGTTAAAAATTCAGAAAAGGGAGATATTCAACTCCAAACAAAGAGCGCCAAGATCACCTTGTGTATGTTTATACTGCATAATACTGCTCTGGTGCTTTGCTTAGCTGAATCCTGGCTTTGCTAACCTTAATAGTGGCATTCCTTGGGCAGAAGCTCCTTGTAAATTTGTTATAAACGTTTTGGCTTCTCATGGTTTTTTCATGTTCTTAGCATCCTCGCCCATGAAGTGATAAAAGGAAGTTGTTCTTGGTTTTATTTTCTCACTATGGCAGTGGTCCACTTTGCGAAAAGAAACTCATTTTCTTCGAGCTGAATAAAAAAGTTAGTGTTATCAAACAGGGAGCCATGTACTTGCCATCATACCCTTCTGGGCCATTGTGTTTTTTCTTTTCTCAGTTGTTGAATCCAGTCTCCTTGATTCTTGTCCAGCCTCTACCTATGATAGGGTAACATAAAAACATACTATACTGTGGAAGAAGCCATTGACAGGTCTTGTCCCCTCCTACAACCAATCTGGAGTAGTCTGCTCGATAACATAATGCCTTTTGAACCGGAGCGGATTATGATGTATCGAGGCAGCTTCAGCTGTGAATAAAAGATTCACTTTTGTGTTATTCTTCATGCTCTGAGAACATAATTTATAGTTGAAGGAGTGGTGTAGGTCTTTCGTTATGGATCATTGCTAAATTATATTTCCAGAGATGTCAACTCTGGTGCTTTCTCTTCATTTAGTTAATGGATCAGATTGGATCAGAGAGAGTATTAAGATTTGTTGAATGTCTTTTTCTATCACAGAGAAAGAGAATGGTCCACGGACGGTGAAAGATGTGAAGTTGATAAGTGCAGGAAGGATATTGGAGAATACACGAACCATAGGGGAATGCCGCAGTCCTCTATGTGATGTTCCTGGTGGGGTCACAACCATGCACGTAGTTGTTCAACCACCATCAACAGAGAAAGGTACGATCTTGTGTTCACTTCACGAACTCTGCTTTTGACTGAACTTATATTGCATTTAAAGAAACTTCTCAAACCATGCACATCTCATACTTTTTTTTGTATAGATTGTGAACCCCTTGCTTATTATTTGTGATAGTTCATCTCACTTGGCGATAAACTTTGTGACTATACACAGGCTGCTGCTACTTCCTTTTTGTTGTTCTGTTGTACCATAGGATTTAAGTTCCATGCACTGCATGACCAATAATGGAGCTCACTTTAGTAGTTTCAGGCGACTTCTAACGCGAAGAATGCCTCTCTTGTATTTGTTTTCTGGATGTAGCAGATAAGAAAGCAGCTCATCTACCAAAACAAAACAAGTGTGTTTGCGTCATTTTATAATTGGCAACGGTAAAGCAGAAAGAACAGCCAGATTTCCAGGCAAGTTATTTTTACTGGTGTTGTTTTTTCTCCTAATCTGCAACAAGCAAATAATGACATTGTTTTGTTTTCCCTTCATACAGGTAAAATACACATTGGAGCTGTTACAGATGAACATTTATGTGAATTGGTTTTGAGGGGGGCATTGGGGTCATCAGGAGGGCGCATTTGTCACAGCTCACAGGGTCTTTTACTTGAGGCGCAAGTCTTTGCTTCCTACAGAGAAACAGTTGTGTGTGTCTCACTGTCAATTCAGTATACAATGATTGTGATAATGTGGGGGGAAATGAATTGGATTTACACTTGTATGCAATCTAACTACGACCGACAGTTTTTTCCTTTTTTGTGGTCAAGTCACTTTCTCATTGATGCACTGTCCGTACGACGGTTTTGGGTTCTTTCCAAAACCAGTACCCAAATTCATTTCGGCTGTTGGAAGAGTTATATGGTTGAATCTGATTTAGGATGCATCTTTTTCAGGTAACATTTCAATTAATGCAAAGCAATATATGGAGCTGCGAGTTCACGTTTTAAGTGTGGTTAGCAAACGGTTTGCAGTCAACTTATATGGACTTGAAATATGCATAGATTCAGAATACCTTGATATTCCAAAAAGACCATTGATACACTAAAGAGACCATTGATACTCCAACAAAAGACTTCTCAGTTATCGACAAAAAGCTCCGATATCATGTTTATAACTATTTAGTACTAATAATTCGTTGGAATAGGTTCCATAATGGATATTCAACCGTAGGAAGGAGAACGAAATAGATGCATAACCCAAAATATGAAAATTAAAATTTATTTGATAATGGAAAATTAAAATTTATACAATCACTCTTTTATTAATTCTCATTTGTTGAGTTGTTTTTCTTCTTCGTTTCTTTATACCAACAAATTGTGGTAAATGTGATCTACAAGGTAAAATTCATTTTGGTAATAAAATATTTCATGCTCTAATACCATGTTGTATCATTGTTGCAAGACGTGTCCTACAACGATCGTAAGACCTATTTTGACTCTTTAATACGATTGTACTTACTAAGCGGACTATTATCGTGAGAAGTTTTACAACAATAATAACACTGAATTTACAATAATACGTAAGACAACTTACGACAGTCATTAGAGGTCTTACAATGATAATGAAATTTTGTATGAATGTAGTAACCATAAGAAATTAAAAATCAATTTAAAAAAATAGATGACTAAATAATATCATTTAACCTTAACATATTGAAAAAGATGCAAGTTGATCATAATTCATAACTCAACCAGGATACACAAGGATTATAAAAAAATATCTGGATCCACAAGGAGGGGTTTTCAAGGGTTAATTGCACCGAATATCATGTAAGTATTGGTTTCATTGCATATTAATCATTTAGGTTCTTTCAGTTGCAAATAAACCAAATAAGTTGGTTTCCGATTGCACCGTTATATTTTTCATCAGTAAACTTAACGGCAGGTATCAAATTATAATTTTCCGCATCAATTTACCCAATTTCATTTTCCCACACATTCTTCCATCTTTATTTCGGTATTACTAGCACTCTCTTTAATTATTTTATGCCCTCCTCTATTGTTTTCGTCAAAATCTACAATTGTTTATTTTTTTTGTTGGTCTAATTGAAATAAACTTTGGTATCCTTCCAAATAAACTAAATTTTTTAAATTTATGTGGAATGTGAAATGCAATCCTTATTATATTTTTTCGTTTATAACATGTTATGCATAATTGGCACCTCTATATAGGATTTTCTCTAGGGGGAAAGTTTTTTGGGTGCCCTCTTATAGATTGTTTAAATTCATCTATTATGCATGAATTTGTACATGTTATTGCTGTATAAGTGTTGTAATGAATATTTGAGCGGACAAAAGTTAAAACATAAAAAGTCTTTCTTTAGTTGAGTTCTGCACACCTGAACTTCAGGTGTCAATCAGATAAAAACTAAAGAAACATATTGAGATTAAATACAAGGGAATGTTTTAAACTGAATGAGTGAAGAAAATTAAGAAACAGGTCTTAAATAATAAAATTGAACAGGTGAAGTTTTATCATAGCTTTGTTACTAGTGTTCTACTAAAGAAAAATCGGCACAGCGAAACTCAGTTTCTCGACCGAAGTCCCCATCTCCAACTCTATAAATAATTTTACAAGAGGATCGGCAGCCATAGAGCAAGAGAAGAATTTCAAATGGCTATTGTGATCGGGTTTATTCAATCCTCCATTTTTTATAAAAAAATTATTTATTTTGTGGAGAGGAAGAAAGTGAAAGAAAAATGGCATGGTGGAAATTAAGGTGGAAATTTTCAATTTAATACCCACCATTAAGTTTCAAAATGAAAAATATAACGGTGAAACCGGAAGTAGACTTGTGTGGTTTAGTTGCAACTAAAAACACTTAAATGGTTAATATACAACTTAACCAATACTTACATGATATCCAGTACATTTAATCGGATTTTCAATGAATTTGGGCTTTTGCGACATCAATTATCATCATATATCTTACAGAAAAAGAAAAAGAAAAACTATTCCCCGCATAACCGTCTGCTTTGCGGAAAGCTTAGAAAACCTATATAATTCCCGTCAATTCAAAAGAGATCATCGGCAACCTAATTGCCGTGAATTGAAGAAAGTTTGAAGGAGATAATCGACAAAAATCTTCGTAAGTTGCTGTTCTTTTGGTCTCGATTCTTTCTTCTTGCCACCAGTGGCGGAGCCACATGAGGCCAAGGTGGGTCATTTGCACCACCTTGGCCCAAAAAATATGGAGTAAATTAATTTATATGATTGTTGATAAAATACAAAATTTCTATATGATTGTAGATACGTAAAGTAATGTTTTATGATCTCTATTTAACTTTTAGTTTATATATTCGATAAGAGATTTTAGTATATACAAAAACTCGAAAAGTAATGTTATTACTTAGACCCGTTTGTTGCTATCGGTTGTCATTCAAGTATTGAAAGAGTACTTATGCAATTAGCAAAGTAAAGAAACACTTCATAATAAGATGAGTTGTGTAATCATGAACGATTTTTCGTTGTGATATCTTAACATCTCTCATCATTTGCTTGATGAATATATTTTAGAAAATTTTCAAAACATAAACACATTCAACAACATACGCACCTTAGATAAATTTCTGGCTATGCCACTGCTTGCCACTGTAATTTGGCGTCAGCCCGGAACTGGGGTTGTAATCCCTTTCTCTTGTTTTAGTTTCATCTACTCCTCCTTCCTGATTTTGTAGGGCAATGACAAAAGAAATAAGTCAGGGTAATTCTCTACGGGTCTCCCTATGATTATTGATCTTTTTAATTTGTTTACAGGCTGCAGTTGCGCGGAAGAAGAAGAAGAAGAAGAAGGTGCTACGGCAGCCCACTGGGATAAGTAGTTGTTCTTGCGCTGCAATTTGACGTCAGCCTGGAATTCGCTTCATACCTGCTCCAAAACCTTCTGTCGGTCTGCTTTCCATCCTTAATTTGCTGGTTCCTCCTTGCTGATTTTGCAGGCCAATGACAAAAAGAAGAATGTGCTCCAGAATGAGAAAATGAATTTAGGTTAGGTAGAAAGGACGTTAATCGTTGGGATGGGGAGCATCTGAGTACGCGAACGACAACAAAAAAACGGATCAATTGGTTGTTATTTTTGCTGTTTGTGGCTAGTGAAGAGTGAAGACGTGGTGGAATCGAAGATAAAGAGCAAGAGTCTGCGGAGGCCGGGGACAGAGCTTGTCTCTTGTAATTTATGTGGGTCAATATTAAAGATTTGGAGAATAAATGCTACGCAAAATTAAAAAGAACTATAAAATCATGTATACACCTAAAATCATAAAATGTGTCCAAACTTGTTGGTGGAGAAGAATTGAATCAAAGTGGCATGAGCTCACTTCTTACTCTCAATAGACTATCGTATCTAATTTTTATAAGTTCTTCAAATAGTTAAGGTGGTGCTGTGGTGGAGTTGCTTGTGCTCAGGGAAGCTATTATTTGGTGCGTGGAGCAAGGCTTGTCGGCGGTCCGATTTGAAGGTGATGCGAAAGGTGATTATTGACAAGATTAATCAAGCCGACACAAGAGATAGCCGGTTGGGGTGCTATTCTGGAAGAGATTAGACATTATTTTCGTACTCAGCCTGGTTTTAGTGTGCGTTTTGTAGGTCGGGAGAACAATAGGGTAGCTCATCTGGTAGCTAGGAAAGCCCTCTCTTTGTATCTGACTATGAGTTGCTTCTTTAATTTCCAGACCTGGCTGATATCCAAGGTGTAACTATCTATTTTTTTTTTATCAATACATGATATCTTTTGACAAAAAAAAGTGCAAATAAAGTAAACCACTTTGGTATGGATTTGCTCCGCCAACTGCGGAATACACAAGTTTTGCCACATGGAGATTACGGGATAATCCCAAGTTCATTACAACCTTCATCTTCTACTTCTCTTTGATTAATGACATATAACAACAACAATAATAATAATAATAATAATTAAGCAATCGGAATATTTTAATATTAAAAAGTGAAACCAAGAATTAATGCTCTCTGCACGTTTTTGCCTTCTTGTATATCCTCCTGGACCTGGTGGCCTTGGCCAAAAGGTAACATTCTACTTGTTAATGCAGTCCCAACAAAAATACGACAAGGAACTAGGAAAATGGAGCAGCTACGAGGCTCTGGATATGTAAATCCATGCAAACAAAGAGACCTAGACGGCGGTGATTAGGGATATCAATTTGAATATTCCTCTTGTTGAGTATTATTCAATCTGATTTGCAATAAGGTGGGTCAGTGGGTATTACTCGACTCAAAGTAACATGGAGTGGAATCAATTCTATCTAAGTTTCATACAATATTTATTCACATTTATCTTATTTTGGCTTTTCTTTAACTAGTTAAATTTGATCTTTCAACTAGTTAAACTCATTTCGCCCATTCTATTATCTCTAATTTTATTCATGAAGTGTTTCTCCTTCGTTTTATCATAAACATTAAAACTTTGCGTGTATTTTCCCCCCAAATAACACGTAAAAGTGGATTGACCTGTCCCGCTCTATACCTACGTGGGTATTACCTACTCCAACCTGAACTTGGTGCGGAACGGATATAAGTACTAAGATACCCATCGTATGCCCACCCGTTTGCCATCACTATATGTGCCCAGCAGCTCATGCTTCCGGTTTATATAGGATGCTGCCGTCTAAGGATAATTGCGGCGATGGAACCTTGGCTACATAGGATACTGCCGTCTAAGGCTCTTTGAAATAACAAGAGCTATAGAAATATTAAGTTGCCAAGAGATTTGCCCTTTCTAGCTATAATTAGAGGCAAATCTTATACCCTCATTCTTTCACTAAAAAAAAAGCACATTCTGATTCTACCATGGCCAAAATGCTGAGACTATATTCCCTCCTCTTCCTCTTCACCATTTTATTCTCGGAGGCTAGATTGACATCATCGCACCCTTTCTCGACGAAACTGTCGGCAAAAGCAATGGCGCTGAAGAATGAGAAGTTGACCCACCTCCATTTCTACTACCACAACCTCCTTGCCGGCCCAAACGCTACGGCCCTGCCTCTCAACCCTAAAGGCCCATTAGATTACAGCCACCCGGCCGGTTTGTTTGGGCGGTTAACCATGGCGGACAACCCTTTGACGTTGGATCCAGAGCTCAACTCCACCGAGGTGGGACGCGTTCAGGGGCTATACGGCGTCGCTTCCAGGACCGATGCGGCTCTCGTGGAGCTATTCAACTTTGTGTTTACGGCCGACGGTAAGTACCGAGGAAGCACCGTCACTGTGTTGGGACGCAACCCCATACTTGCCACCGGGACAAGGGAGATGCCGGTCGTCGGCGGCACCGGAGTGTTCTGCTTCGCTCGTGGAAAGGTTCATCTCAAAACGCAGTTGTTTGATAAAAAAACGGGAAATGCGGTCGTGGAGTGTGACATCTACGTATTTCACTACTAAGATGAACTTTACTATGATGAACGTGATTTGAAGAAGAAGAAGAAGAAGAAGAAGAAGAAGAAAACGGTCAATCGCCTCTGGCTAAAATAAGGTCGATTTCATCTAAGATATAATAAGGTCGATTGCTTCTGGTATATAGTCGACCAAATGAACCATTACTAGTGAAATCATTGTATTTTATTATAAAAGTCCAATATTAATAGATATTTTTTTACAGGAATATTAATAGATATTGATGGTAAGAAAGTTAAAGTGAGTGAAAACCTTAAAGCATACATAAGAAGTTTCTCATGTGATTATTCCCGTATTATTTGGAAATTGGTCTGTAGGTTTGTTTCAAAGATTCGACTTAGCTATCATATTTTCTTTAATTCTACTTATGTTTGTGCTTGTAATCCTATAATTGTCTTGTTGTCTTGCTATTGTTGTTACAAAGAGATTTAAAAAGTATAATATCATTGTTATACAATCGCATCATATTCGATGTCCAGAAGTCTTCTATAATCTTGTTTTTGCAGGTTCTTATTCCAAAAATGTTTAAAAAGGTGTTATTCCTTTCTGTCTAAGCCTATAATCTTCGCAGACATTTGGTTGCTCATGGATGATAAAATGTTGTATTACTGCAATTTTTTTTTGTATATTTAGGACCCATTATTTTCTGGATGTAATTTATTCTTTCGTAGAATTCTAATTTTTAAAGTATCGATAAAGACTATCAGGGGAAGAAATGTTTTGCCTGAAGTAATGAAGCGAGTTTAAAAAAAACAAATCCGGATGAAAAAAGGGGGTAATGAATTTTTATATAGTTAAAATCGAAGAAAGGGATATTGAACTTTTGTTAGAAACTGTCGATCTTTTGCTGAAAATAATCGACCGATTACAAGAAGCGCTCAATCAATTGTCAAAAGCAATCGACTATTTTCTACAAGTCACGATAATTTGAAAATCACGATAGACATACCCATTTCTAATGTTAATTCAGTGTTTTTTATTGCTCAAACGATGTTCAGGATTGCAAAAAAATGGTGGCTATCTGTCTTTTTTTTCATAACAGATAACTCTTACCCGTAATTGTCACTTTAGTGAAAGTTACAGTTTATATAATTAACTAGATTGGGGTCCGGCCCGTTGGCCGAATACATTTTATTAATGGTAGAATAACAATAATAATTATTTGATGAAATAATATTTTGTTTGCTATAAGAAAAGAGTCTAAATTATCTAACTATTGAAAACTCAAAATATCATATGTAACATAATTTTTACTTAGTAATATTTATCTTATCTTATCCAAACCATGAACATTATCATATATTCACTCTTTCTCTCCATCATTAAAATTTATATTTTCATCATTAACAGTCTCTTCCTTTTTCTCAAATCGTTATTATCTCAATCACCAAATACACTAAACCCTAAACAAAAATTAAAATATGTGCAATTGTCCACAAAACTCAAAACTAGAACCTAAATTTATAAATGGCAGCAACGAGCTACAACATGTAGTTCAAAACTATATTTTAGTGGGTAGAATGTTCTTTTCTCTAATAAATTTGAACTTAATAAGGATGGAGGAGCAAATATAATGTTACCTAGTGGGTGTTATCTTTGACGATGTTATTATAAATTCTCACAAAATACTCGTTATAGCATTTGTAAAAAATTTCGTCGACAACTTTCAATTAATCATATTTGAAGAAGGAAATATAGTTCGTATGAAATTTGTGAGAGATTGAAAAAATCTTAGCCGCAACGCTCGAGATCTGTGCTTAAATTAGAGTTACCAAAAGAAACAAAGAAGGTTATGTACCAAAGTCGCAACCTCATTCCTCATCTTGACAATTTTGCATGGATATACCAATAGCTATTAAATATTAATGAAATTGAATTTTATCACTTCTCCAACCATCACTTTCAATTTATTATCTCTTTCAATGTTTTGGTGGAGATTGATGGTCGGGTTCGATCTTTGATTTTCGTCAGAGAAAGTGGTGCATCTCCATCACTTTTTTTATAAATAAATTATTATGAAACCATGATTTTTTTTACACTCCAAATTTATTATACAAAAAAATACACTAATGCAAATGGCATGTAGCTCGGTAAGCTCGATTTGACATAGCAAGTTCTTTGATAATATCACATCTTATTTGAATGAGGTTATGCATCAAAATCTCAACCCCATTTTATTTTGACAGCTCTGCAGTGGATATGCATTGACATCAATATTAGAGAAACATAATCATTTGAATGGTTAGATTAAAACTGAATTTTGCCACCTCTCTGTACTTTATTCTCAATTTGTTTAACTTTTTCAATATTTTGATGGGGATTAGTGGTCGGGTTCGTTCTTTCACTCATTAAGGAAGGTGTGCATCTCCATCACTTTCATCGCAAAAAGTTATTATTAACTCATTATTTATTTTGAAAACTCCAGATTCATAAAACACAACAAAATTTATTGATTCAAATAACATGAAACGCGAGTTAAAGACAACAGACTCTAGGATAATATCGCATCTTGTTTAAAAAATCATAAAGTTTTTCCTCCTTTTCTGCAGTTTTAAGATCAGAGGCATGCAAAATGAGAAACAACGCTTTCGTGAACATGATAGCATATGCTTTCCATCCATTTTGTAATTGTTGTAGTTATTGGAGGAACATTTCTTATCGGAGTAGCTATAGTAGTGGATGGAAGTGGGTATTGGGTTAGGAACATGTAATTATAGTAGCCGATCTCAAGCAACTACATATGAATTAATGAAAATAAATTAATTAACTGTATCGATCATAATTTAAAAATAAGATTTAACTATATATGCAATTGCATGTGGCTTCCATTGATGTGGGTACAATGATAGTAATATGAGTTGGATTATAAAAATATTGAGATGGTAATTGAAATCTCATATGCAATTGATTTTGCAATTGTATTGATATGGATGTTTTAAACCCAAATTTTGTAGATGTCCGGAATTAGCTGTGGTCTTTCTTTGGTCGCCAAGAAATAGGGCCGCAAGAATTGAGGTTTGAATTATATTTTTATTATTAACAATTTGAGCATGAGTTTTAATAAGCTTTTTAATCTTTACAGGTACCCCAAATTAAATTGGCCTTTAACCCACCAAACTACCAAATAGCAGAGAAAGAGCTGAAATGCTGAATAAACAAAAGAAGGACCATGTAGTCAGGAAAAAGTGAATTGGGTGAGTGGTTAAGGAGAATCTACTTAGGGTGCGTTTGGATACAAGGATTTGGATTTGGTATTTGTGATTTGGATTTTCAAATACCAAATCATGTGTTTGGATATTAATTACATTTGGTATTTGGATTTGTGTCAAATTCATGGGGTGACTTCCAAATACATGTCTAGTGTATTTTTTGTCAACTTCAAATACATTTCAACAACTAGTGATTTGAAATACCTCCTAACAAAAGAATGGACCTATTTGTAAAATATGAAAAGTTTAGGTACTATAGTGTGAGGCAAAACATATAAAGGTACCAAAATGTAATTTTACCATCAAAATTGCAGGACCTTTTTGTAAAAATTTAAAAGTTTAGGTACTAAATTGTAAGAAAAAATAATTTTGGGTACCAAACTGTAATTTACCAAAATTTGTAGTAAGTGACCAGAAAATTAAAAATTGAAATTGAAAATCATAAATACAAAAATACAAACAAATTACAAATGAGTATCCAAACAATGAATTTGAATTACATGTATTTCAAATGCTAATACTTCAAATACATCCATTTCAAATACTAATATTTCAAATACCTTACATTTAAAATACACTTATCCAAACGCACCCTTATATGATTTAGAGGAGGAAGGAGGATATGCAAAGTAATCAAATGTATTTACTATTTATATTATTAATAATATACCTTTTTGAACTAATTTTCTACGTGACAAATTATCAAACGAATAAGCATGCCAGCCCGGCCCCTGGAATTTTGCCTCCCTCCAATAAAAATTAAAAAGAAAATAAATAAATAAGCATGCAAGCCAATTAATTAACTGGACGGCTAAACATCGCCCTCGTTTTACTATTATCGCCCTAACTTAAATTATGATTTTACTAAATTATCCTTGATAATAAACTCAAATTAAAGAAAACACACATTCCTTCAAACCTCCTACTCTCCAAACACACTTCACCGGTGCCCTTCTCCCATCCACTCCGCAGCCACGATACCCCAAAATTCCCGGCGAATTAAGTCGACGCAGTAATGAGGAAGTCAATTAATCCTAGGAACCAACTGATTTGTCCCATCTTTCCCTTGCAACGAATGCCATCAAAACTCAATTAGACCAGCAACTTCCATCGTCGTTCATGTACGATGGCACCCATTGTCGCTACTATACCCCGTCGCAATCCGCCACAAGCGAGATCCAATCGAGTCGTTCGTCGACTCTGTTCCCGGCGATGTCGGAAACAGGGCATACTCTTCTTGGTTCAGTGTCATTGTTCCAACGGGAACAGAAGTCAGTAATGGCAGAGCAGGAGGAGGAAGGTGTGACTATGATCATGAGGTCGATGGAATTTCATGGACGCTTCCCGACAGTGTAGTTGGCGGCGGCGGCGGGTTGATTCTTTAACTAAATCAGAAACTTGGGGAACAGGGGAAATGCGCCGGAGATCAATTTTTTGGCGAAATGGATGAGATTTCTGAAATTGAGTATGGAAATCCTCTGGAAGAGACAAAGACGACGCCTGCCATTGTAATCAACGCCTCCCCACGGTTTGTGTCATCTGATTCACCCTGCTCTCGAAATCAAATCCCAGCCGCATCATTCCCTTCTCCCCATCGCCGGAATGAAGTCCCCGCCGTCGTCTGTCCGAGAGCGAATCAACAACGGTGTCTTCAATCTACATGAAAAGTCTGAAAGCGCCGTCGACGGTCGGCGGCTGTGGGAATCAGTGGCCGACAGGCGACGGCGGACAATGGCGACTTGGTGATGGAGCGTGGATTAACTTTTTCTTTAATGGGTTTTTTAGAATAAATACCGATTAAAAATAAATATAGGAGAAGGATAAAAATGTAAGTTTAATGTTTAAATTAGGGCGATTTAGTGAAAGTAGGGCGACATTTAGCAACTCCCACAAGGAAAAATAATTAGTGATTAGGGAAAACCGGACTCGGTGCTCTTCACACAAGGAAAAGGGAAAGGGAAAAGAAAGAAAGAAAGGCAAATCAATATATGATCCGACAATCATAATCCGCCGGAATAATATATCACCCGTACCGTAAAAAAGTATTTCCTTCGAAGCCCAAAACCGCATACTTTGGGGAAAGCGGAAGAAACCTAATTCCCGCCAATTGAAGGAGATCGTCGTCAAAAAATCTTTGTAAGTCGTTGCCTTGCTCTTTGATAAGTTCGTTTAAGTTGTCTCCGCCGTTTCTTGCTTCGGAGGAAATCCTTGATAGAAAACCCTTTGCTGTTTCAGCCTTGAGGCAAATTAAGCAAAGCTTAGAAACCCTAGTTCCGCCAATTGGACAAGATTCGAAGGAGATCATCTGCAGAAATCTTCATTAGCAGCTGTTCCGTTGGATCTCGATTATTTCTTCCTGTCGCTGTTATTGGCGGCAGATCGGAACTGGCTTCGTAGAGGCTGCGAGACCTGATCTGCGTGTCTGTTTGTCCCTGATAGACTCTTAATTTAATTTGTTGGTTCCTCCTTCCTGAATTTGCAGAGCATGACAAAGAAAAGGAACAAGGGTAATTCAATTCAATTCAATTCAATTCAATTCTCCCCTTTTATCTGCGACATGATTTTAGCATCTAGGGTTCTCTTCTCCCCCATCTTTGCTGCTTGATTGATTATTTGATCTTCCAGATTTGCTTAATGCTTGCAGTTGTGCGGCGGAGGGAGCTGCTACGACTGACCACTGGGATACGTAGTTCCTCATCGACTAAACCCATATCTGCCATCTCCGAGCCCTCTTCCACAGTACTTAGCTATGACGTCACTGCCGCAGTTGAGCCGAAGAAGGAGCTGCCGCCGGAGATCACAACCTCTGAGCCCTCCTTCACATCCCCTAACTCTGGCTCTTCACATGATAGGGCGGCATCAGAGAAGGCCTTTTTGGACTCCATTGTACTTCCTGATCCATTTCGACCGGAAGTAAGCAGCAGGCAGATTATACCATAATCATTCTTTACTTAATTGGTTTTCAATACTAATCTCCTTTCGTGTTTAAGCCAGCAGCTAGCTAAAAAAATGGGTTTTCTTCTTAAAACAGCCAACTAACGAAAAGCATGCATTTTGTGCTTTCCCCTCAACTTGCTAGGGTTCTAGGAATCCCACTGAAGAATATATAAGAGAAGAATTGATTTTAAAATGTAGAGTGTACGTGTGACCTCATTTAGGATGTTGAGAGATCCTTCTCTCTGACTAGCTAGTAGCGTTGGTGCAACAGGTTCATTGGTTATTTCGACCCCGTTTGTAGTGAAGTAATTGAATTTCTTTTGTTGGTTCCTCCTTTTGGTTTTGCAGCCCACAGAAAATGATCTAGTCAACAACTCCCCATGGCTGGCGGCAATGTGTCCGAACCTGTTTGCTAAGTATAACAAGGGTAATTCATTTCTCCCTTTTGTGTGTTGGTGGTGTATTTGGATATTTGCTGCTAACTTGGTTTTCATGTCCTGAATCCTTCAACTGCAGGGTCTGAGAAGACACTGACTCAAGCGTTTCTTGATGCGATGAAGGCTGAAATTGCACGACACCCTCCTCTTCCTCCCGATTATGATTCTGATGCTGAATGGGATAGTTATGGGGGAGGATGCCATGACGAAAGTCATTTGGCAAATGATGAAGAGTTTGATTGGGACTCGTTTCGGTCAACCATTGTTCATCATCCCCCACCCAAGATATGAGAAGAGGTAAATTAGCTAGGAGTTGTATGATTTGCTGTCATGATACAACTCTAGCGTTTGCATTTCTTATTGGCCGCATGTTACAGTCTGTATTTCTTATTGCTTGCGTACGTGTTGGACAGGAACGAGGATGAACGTACGGATATTGCTCATTGTTGATCTTGATACATGGCGTAAGAAATCATTACTGATCAACCATTTATCTTCTGATTGATGCTTCTGCTCTTTGGCTAATGACCTGCGTTCCTTGGTTTCAACTAAAGGAGATGCATATGCTTAGTTCTCCTTTTATCATCTGATTTGATGCAAATGGAGCCTTTTGTTCGTCATAATTCTGCACGATGAGGCAAAATTAGAAAAAATGGGACATTTTAGTTAATGTTCTATTATATATAAGATATATGAGTTTATATATAATGTAAATTGAACGATCGATTTCCCCATAATTATTCGTGTTCTCTCTATTATTCATATTCTCTTATGTCTTTCCCTCAACCATTTATTTTGGGGTTGTTTGAATGTTGACCTCAAAAAGTGATAAACCGTATCAAATCTAAACATTTGAAGAGTAGTAATGTGTTCATAAAAGTTACTGGTTCTAGAGTTGGACTTCAAAACCCATGCATGTGATGAACTCGTAACCTACGAGTTCAAGGATTTTGCTTGTAACTCACAAGCGAGAGCACGACGTAAGTGTCGAAAACCTATTTTGTTTATTGATTGATTGATGAATCGGACTAATGTCGTGATTACAATATCTAGGTGACTAAACCTAATACGTAACCCTAACTATAAAGAAACCCTAGTTACTACCTACATTAGCCGACTCGACCATGTACTGGAGACTCATACCTAGACTACTAATTATGTTTGGCCCATGCTCTTACAACCCATTACTACTACGTAACCCATGACTAACCCATGAACTACGTACATACTAACCCAAAACACTTAACAGACTAACTCCAAAGCCCAACCCTTATTATCTCATCAGCATGTTCCTAAATCAAGATATTCAATATAGAAACATACACTCTGTATGCTTATGCTAAAAAATTGAATGTTTATAATGCGCGCTTAGTGTTTCTATAACAATTTTATATGATATATAACAATTGGTAGTTGATCATATTTGTCTAACAATTAGCCAAAATACTCAAATTATTAATACTGTGCCCATATCCAGCATTCATTATTTTTTTGGCATACGAAAGATCATGAAACTTGGAAAATAATTAATGATAATAAATTACCCGGGCCAATGGCCGGGAGCAAAGCTAGTGAGGTTTTTATGGGTTTGAAGAGAGGAGTGCTTAATTATATTGCCTATTGCAAATATAGTATAGTAACAATTACAAGATTTTTTTATAGATTCGAAAGGAGGAACACTTGACTATTGAGTGGTTATTCAAAGTATCGAGTATGAGTTATATAAATATTAGATAATAGCTAATTGTCTACTTGATTTGATTGGTTAACAGTGTTTGAAATTAAACCAAACAAACTAAAAAGTTTAATTAAACCAAACCATTTATTCAAATGATTTGAGTTCTACTATATTAAAATAAATACGGAAAATTTTTCAAAATACACATGTTTTTAAATTTTTCCCCAAAATACACATGTTTGGGCATCACTGCGGTTGACGGCCGCAGTGAATGCCTGACGTAACATTGAAACTTCAAACAAACGTAACTTTGCGCTCGGTTATCCGGTTATAGCGAATTTTTTTTATCCCACATAACTTTTCAAGATCTTTCAATCTGCTACAAGCCTTTATCCCAAAAAAAATTCGTTTGCTACCCCGAACGAGTAATTTTTCGATTTTGACAAACTTTGGAAGACCGTAACTTTGTGCTCCACAATCCGAATGTCGTGAAACTTTTTTTGATTTAGCATAACTTTTGAAGGAGTACAACTTTGATTATAACCATAATTTTGGAATGTATGTGGATTTGTGAAAAGTAAAGGCAAAGTTATTCCCAGAATTCCGTATACCCAAAAATATTTCTTTTTTAAAAAATTCTTTCCTAGTAAAATTTGTATTTCTTAAAAAGTTATGCGCAATCAAAAAATAATTTACGAAGTTCGGATTGAGGAGCTAAAAGTTATGGTTTTCCAAAGTTTGACAAAATCGAAAAATTGCTCGTTCAGGGTAACAAACGACATTTCTTTGAGATGAATGCTTGTTGTAGATTGAAAGATCTTGAAAAGTTATGTGGAATAAAAAAAAATTCCGCTACAACCGGATAACCGAACGCAAATTTACATTTATTTGCCGTTTGAAAGATTTTGAAAAGTTATGTGGTATAAACCAAAACCTCTGGATATTTTTGATATATTGAGGTCAAAGCAAGAAATGATTTGGACGTTTGGCCCTTCTTCTGTATATCCTCCTTGATAAGAAGGGACGAGGCGATTCGGTCAAACCCCAAATCAAATCAAAGCAACACAAGTTTCTTCAAACGGCAAAATCGCATCATATAGGGTCACCACGACAAAGCGCATAGATACAATTAAGCTGCCTTTTGGGACTTGCGCTCTCTTGCAATTACATAAAGAAGAATAATTCAATCATGTCGTACCCGCCCCATTTCCATAGTCTATTCCTAATTTCCTATAAATAGATGCAATCTATACTTCCATGTCAATAGACTATACAGAACTTCCATTCTTAAACTTCTTTCAAGTCATTCTAGCTTACGTACCCAGCTGCGCTACCATGGCCAAAATACTGCTTAAACAATATTCCCTCCTCTACTTTCCGAGGCTAGATCAATGTTGTCATCGCATCCTTTCTCGACGAAACTGTCGGCAAAAGCTATGGCGTTGAAGCATGAGAAGCTGGACCCACCTCCATTTCTACGACCACAACCTCCTTGCCGGCCCAAACGTTACGGCCCTGCATCTCAACGCTAAAGGCCCTCTACATTCGAACGACACGGCCGGTTTGTTTGGGCCGTTAACCATGATGGATAGCCCTTTGACGCTGGAACCCGAGCTCAGCTCCACCACGGTAGGAAGCGCTCAGGGGCTCTACGGCGTCGCTTCCAGGACCGATGCCGATTTTGTGGAGTTATTCAACTTTGTGTTTACCACCGATAATGCGCACCGAGGAAGCACCATCACTGTGTTGGGACGCAACTCCATATTTGCCCCCGGGATAAGGGAGATGCCGGTCGTCGGCGGCACCGGAGTTTTCGGGTTCGCTCGTGGGAAGGTTCATCTCAAAACGCACTCCTATAATGCTACAACCGGAAACGCGATCGTTAAGTACGACATCTACGTCTTTCACTATTGATATTGATTGACTTATTAATATTATCATTATGTTTTGACTTTTTTTTAAATCGCATTACACTGATCTATGGTGTCCATTCATGAATTTGTTATACTTCTCGTGTTAATTCAGTGTTTTAAATCACTTGCTCAAAATGATGTTCAATAGTAAAAGAAATGGCAGTTATGTTACGTATATGTCGTGTCGTATTTGTATTGCAAGTTAAAAGTTTCATATACTTTTTTTTTTATGAATTGTTTTGGTTTACCAGTCCACCTATCACTTCAAAGTACTGCTGCACAACTGCTATCTTAGCTTCATTATTCTCTTCCAGTTCCATAAACCCTAGCTACTATAACTAGTATAGATAAACATAGTAATTGTTTGAAGAAAGGTATGTCTTATTCCATACCGGTATAATTTTCAAGATGCTAACCACATTTATTGACTAAAGTCATTAATGAAAGTAAAAATAAAATCCATGCAATAAAATCAACACTTATAAGTTTAATCAAACCATACTATTTGCTCACCGCTCTCAAGAATTATTGCAAATTTTATTTAGAATTTCATGTGATCACTCTGCCTCAACCATCTAAAGCACCGTCATCCCCACCAATTATAATGCATTTTTCTTCCTTAACTAAACATTTATTTTCACAATAGGTTGTTCCTACTTTTTTTATTAGACGCCAATCTTTAATAGTAAAATGTTTAAAACACTAAATATTAGTAGAATTTTATGTCTCATGAACATTTTATCAGATTTCTTCTTTCCCCTTATGCAAACAACCAATAGACCAACATATAAATTTGATAATTTATAGATTGAAAACTTAATGAATAATTTGTAGGCATTGACTATTAGCCAATAAATACGTTTCTTCTTTCTTGTATATCTGCAAAATTTATTTTTAAAATTGGCTAGGAAACCATGGTGGTCAACTATGAAAATAATTAAACCTACCATGAATGTCATTTTTTTTATCTGTGGTGGTTTTATTTATAATTTATAAATCGTGAATTAGGTGGGGAGTATCATGATAGGAAGATTGGAAGCTTAGTTAAAGTCTAGTAAGGGAGGCGAGACCCACTTTCATAACAAACTAACAAAAAATTGATGGTGGGAAAACACGATTAGGAATTATTGCATAGATTGGGTACCATTATAGAAGAATTAATAGTTCATGAATGCTATCATATATGATATATGATGCTAGATAACATACACTTTATTCCAAATATGTCAAAATGGATACTATTTTGTTAATATAGTTAATTTGATGTTTAGTTAATATCAATTATAAAAAATGTAATATGAATAATTGAAAACTAATAACAAAGTGGTTATGAACCTTGCTTATACATTAAATTATATTAATAAACTAACAATATTATAAATTAGCTAAATGAATACAGTAAAACAAAACTGCTAATAATAATTTCAATAAATATGTAGAGATGAATTTTACAATGCTTTTATTTGAAAAAAATGTATGTATAGTACAAATTGAACTTATATTTTTAACGTTATAGTCAAATTCATTTTGTGTGTATACCTTTTCGTACAAATATTTTCTACTGCAAACTAAATTGTACTTTTAATGTCACTTTACAAATTTAGTTGTACATATATCTTCTCATAAAAATTCATTTATGACACAAACGGAACTGTCTTTTAACGTTATGGTATAGTTTGTATCGATATATTTTTGTACAAATTGAATTTATACTTTTAACATTGTAGCACTAATTCAAATTGTATTTGAAAACACTAATATAATAATATATGATTAGAAGGAAATAATTAGAAGTAATTTTGGACTTATATGACCAATATAAATTAAAACAAAAGCCCCATCCTCAGCGCAATACCCCGGAAAAACAGAGGCTTAGCCCATCTATTGCATTTGTTTATGGCCAATCCAAGTGAGAACCATTTGACCAAAACACCCATCCGTACTATGCGCAAGAGGCCGGAAAAGTGGAACTAATTGGCTTTTGATGGAGAACCTCCATAATAGAATGGGAGGGAGGAGATTTCGAGCCGAGAACACGAGACGAGGAAAGATTTGAGACAATGGATCGGACCTACTCCAAGTATGTCTATAGATGGGCTTTAACTAATTTAGCGCACATATAGGTATATCCAGGAACGGATCCCATTAGGGCTGGGATTCTAGACCAAGGGGAACCACGGTCTAAATCATATTGTATTGGTTGGTCTAGATCGTGAGACCAGAATTGTGGTTTGGTCTGGTTTGTTGTCTCCTATTTTAGTGTGTGGTCTGAAATGGTTTTGGACTACGATCTACCGCAGTAAACCGTAACAAACCGTGACACACTACCTACTAACTCATACCAAAATAAGTAAATAACACTAAATTAAACCTCCATTTATCTATTTGAAGAACAAAGTTAGTTGATTCTTCGTCTAGTTGAGAGACAACAGATTGCCCAAATGATCGCTTATGCGTTCTCTCCTTATCAAAGAACCACACAAAAACCAGAAAGATTCATAAATAATATTCACCGATAATGTCTAGACTATGGAGTGGATAAAAACATAAACACTAGACAAAATTCATTCACAAGGAAAATTATTGAGAGATAAGCGGCCATCTTAGTGGTTCAAAATGACCTCGAAGTCATCAAGAAGGTGATCGATCGCTAGAACCTTCAGACCACCCGAGAGAGGGAGAGAAGCAGTAGCACAAAGAAGAAGAGGGAAACAAGACTATTTGATATGTGGTTTTTTTAATGGATACTCGATAGAGCCGTGGAGATTGGATAGAGAGTTTGAAAATTGAAAAAACCGACTTCTCTCCCCCATATATTTCTTCTCATTTTAATTACGATCACTAAATTTTTGTTTCACTAGCATATTGGTTACTTGAATTTTTATTTTTATAGATACAGGCGAAGGGTTGGAGGGCGAAAGAAGAGTGATTTTTTTTTTAACATGGCATGCTTGATTAAGACCATACCGGACCGCACCGCACAGGCGTGTTCTGATCTGGACCGTATAGTACATGGTTTGGTCCATGGTCTGTGTTCCAACCTCTCGATATGGACCACAGATCGTGTCTATGGTCTGGTCTGGTTCGGACCGCACCGTTTCCCACTCTTATGGGTCATTTGGATCCAGGTTTTTAATTTGTGGAACTTTGGCTCAAATCACTGGTTTAAAAACCTAGGTTTTTAATTTGTGGGATTTGTGTGGGATTTTAAAATAGCTAATCACCATCAGCTATTTCATAATCCCACAATTGTGGGTTTCTGAAATCTCTAATATTTAAAATCTCTTATCATATAATTGCTTTCCAAACAAGTGATTTTAATAAAATCCCAGATTATGTAGGATTGTGCCCAAATCCCACACCCAAAACCTGCATCCAAATGACCCCTTAGATCCCAATCCCATGCATAACTTTGTGACGAGTAACCATTCATAACACAATCCCAATCCGCCACATCAGCGCCCTTCTCTCTCCTGGAAAACCTTTAATTTTTTCCCCTTAATTATAATAGAAGATTTCTCGCTCTTTTTAAGTCGGAATTCAATTTTTTTTTTCACAGTTAGATCAGATAAATTGTGCTCTTCAAAATGATATCCACCTTGATATACTTTTATACAAAAAAAATTGAGTCATTTTTTTTACCAGTCTATACCATATGGTATTGACTGGTATTAAATAAGAGCATACCATATGATATGAAAAATATCACTCCATACCAGGTGGTATAGTATGGTATGGAGTTGGTAATGAGAGGTATGAAATTTTTTCACCTAGAAATTTTTAGATCTCATATATCATGATTAACTCATTTCTTCTGTGCAAAAATTTCTAAAAACAACTTAAAATGAAGGAGATATCATATGGTATGGAGTTGGTAACGAGAGGCATAAAAAATTATCAAAAATATTGAAAATGGGTCTCATTTTGTAGAGCACAATGAACTCGTTCCATCTGTGCAAAAAAAAAAAAATTGAAATCCAAGTAAGAATGAAGAAGATATGATTCGATTAACAAAACTAGAAAAAAATAAAATGTCTTTAATTCTTCCACTGTTAAACCTACAACCACTTAAAATGAAATGTCCAAATTTAATTACTTACAATTATGCACGCTAAGTTTATACTTTATACACCTTATCCAGAGCCGATATATCCTCCAGCAATGTCTTAGGTAATGTTTTCATCATACCTCTATGGGGGGGAAAAGTGTCTTATTATAAGTTTCGGTTGTTGTGTTTGATCAATTTTTCCTTATTTTATTTGCAAGCAGGTCGATCTATTTCTTCCTATGGTCTATATAGACACAGAGGTTGGTCATTTTAACCAAATTCATGGTTGTGGTTGATTTTTTTCATGGCTCCTTGTCCGAATTACATCCCATCGATAAGTTCTTCATCAAGAAAAACTTGATTTATAAGCTTAGAACTTCTTTTATAATTTCCATTCATATGTTTCACATCGTCATGGACTATCATCACTGAAGGGATGAGATACGGTCACTTTTACTAAGGTCTCATAGCCCACTTTGTAGCCATTGAATACGTTCTCTCTTATCTCTCTCTTATCTTTGTCAAATTGATAGTTAAGATTAAACGAAATGTATTGTTGTAATGAAAAATTAACCACATAATTACCTTTTTCATTTTCTATATAATTCATTTTCATTAACAAAAAAAGCCCCACTCTCCTCTCCTCTCATGTCTTCTCCCTCCTCTCTACCCTCTCTCTTCACTCCCACCCAAAACCCTAGCCACCGTCGCCGTCTCCCTCCATTTCTCCATGTCGCCACCACCGTCTCTCCATGCCGCCGCTGCCACCTCAGTCTCCACCTCCTGCTGCCTTCGACCATGGGGCCGCCTCCACCTCACGCTGCATCCGACAATGGAGCCGCCTCCACTTCTTGCTACCACCGCCACCCACCACCACCATCGCTTCTGCCTCCCACCACGCCTCTCCCATGCCTTCCCTTTTCCTCATCCCCTGTTTTCTTTTTTCAGATCTG